GGGGGGGGGGAAAGATGAGTGGTCATCTCACTGATTTAAAACACTGATGTAAAAAAGCTTGGGAAATCGTTTCACACAATAAATTGTAAAACATTTTTTCAATTTTTAAAGACACAATATTGGAATTGATTAGTATATGGGAAATCCTGAAGTGTAGAGTAAATCTGTTTTGACTGTTCATGTATGACTTTGTTGTTCAAATTTTGCATAAAACATAAACAGCTTTCCTATCATTCATTTTATCAGAAAGTGTCTTATTATTAAAATAACTTGTGTGACGACCTGTGTGATTTAGATCTATTTCTTTTCAAGGTACGAGTAATAAGTCGAAGAGTATACCAGCAAAAAGCTGTTAATTTCCATGAACATTTAAAAACGTCTTACGAAGAGTTTCGTGTTGAATTTTGCATTAAGATGAACCCAATAGAATACAAAATAACATATCTCTTTCACAGTAAATAATCGCAACATTCTTTCAAATTAGGCAAACGTAATTTTTGTTGCAATTGTACTTTAAGGTACTGTAGTACTTTCTTTCTTTTCTTGCACTTCAATTCCTCCCCTCCCCTCTCAAAAATCCCCGCCCCATCCTTTCAAACCACTTAAAACCACCAACTTTATCTAGGACCTCGGAACCTAGTAATTTCATAATTAATAATCTAAAAGCGAAACGGCACAAAAGAAACAGCACCGAGTCACTTCTCGATAAGACGGTAAAAGAGGACACTCGTGTTGAATTTTTGATTCGGTCGCTTGCTTGCACGACAGGATGAGGTTTACAGATAAAAACGTTCTTTCTACATGCGACAAAAAATAATTCATTTACGGCCGAAAAATCTATGGTGGAACTATGGTGCTACGAGGAAAGGAACGGAAGATGGGCGGGGATGATAAACGGAAGGGGGAAACACGAAAAGCAACCCCACAAACAAAAAGGAATTATAGCATTTTGACATATGTTTTTAATTTAGTCAATCGGCAAAATTTACATGAATCAAATCTTTCTATGTGATAATTGCAATAACTTTAATAATTCTAAACATCACATCTATACACTTCTTGTTACCATCATTAAACAGATATACTGTCATCTCCAGGACAGATGTCGCTCCACCCAACAATGTTGGAATTCAGAGAACAGCATTTTTCAACTCTGAAGTTATACTCCCCTCTGCCACAACATTTGTAGTGCGGTTTGATAGAATGGAGCTCACCAGAACAACACATGTGTGTTGCTGGGTTGTAAGGCACACTTTGGCATGGGACCACTATATGAAAAGAAAAAGATTTTATTTGAAGTAAAATAAATCAGTGTTCTTCTACAGGTATATTGGCTTTTTTTCAAAATAGATTCTTCGCGATTTAAAACAAAATCAGCTTTCCTGAACACTAAGGTCAAACGTCCACCCATTTGACTGCTTATACTCGAAAGATTAGAAATAGTATCGTCTTCAAGAAGATCTGGCAGAAGAAAACTATGAACAAGGAAAGAGCGGTAAAATTACCTGCCTTATAGTTTCAGCCGTTATAGTTTTTCTTATCGTAAATGCTTTCCTTTTCCCGTATTTATTCTTATTACTTTGGCCGAATTTTTTCTCTAGGGCGCTTGACGTTTGTAACTTCCTGGTTAAATTTCCTGCTTAATTTAACCACAGTCCTGATTGATATGATCACTATCGTGGCTAATTTAACCAGGCTATATGGTTGATTTCACCAGGATATATGGTTGGTTTAACCAGATTTTGTTAGGTGGACTATTATCCGGTTAATTTAACCATTTAGCCTGGTTAAATTAACAAGGAATCATGGTTAAATTAGCCAAGACTATCATCAAGTTAACCAGGATTGTGGTTAAATTAACTAGGGATTTTAACCAGGAACATTAAGTTACTCCAAACAGGGTTAATTTTAGGCTGACCAGAACATTTTAAGAGTACACCTGCTGAGCGATGTTATTTTATGTCGATATTACTTATCATGTTGAGAGGAAGGATCAAATTTTGGGTCAAATTATTTTAATAAATTTAGTTAATTGAAGATTCGGTGTAGATTAGGCCGACTTTTACTATACAATGAGCCATAATATATGAGGCACGTGAGGTGCAGGGCCCGATTAAATATTATCATAATATCATACCTTTCACCTCGATAGCAGCGGTACACTGAACATTAATACCGCTAGTCATGTTATAAGAATACAGGATACTATGGTTCCCAACACCGAAGCTCGCTCCAGGTTTGATGTTTGGCTGAATTGTGTTTCGTACTATTTGCTGTCCTGGACAAGTTGGCTTTGGTTCCATCCAAGTTACGCTCTTTGTACCACATGGGCAGTTGGGATTAACGTAGTCAAGCGTCCTGGTGCTTTGACAAATACACTCTGAAACAGCATAAAAGTTGTAATGAAAACTTTAAGTTATTAACTGCGAACATGGTGTGTCTTCATCTCTGTCATCTGGAATTCTCCAATATACAACTTCCCAATAATGAAGTGATTCTCGCTTCAGACACATATGAGAAGAGTGCTTCCAGTTTAATTCAAAGCAGGTTTTCTCTAAGACTGACTGGTTATTATTGATTGATTGATTGATTGATTGATTGACTCTTGTTATTTGATAATTGATTTACTATTATTGATTTAATAACTATTGTTGATTAATTGTTTGACTCTTAATCATTCTTGATTATTTGACTCTTAATCATTGATTGATTGTTCGATTGCATAACTGAATGATTGATTAATGTAATAACAGATTGACTGATCAATTAAGCAACTGATCTTATATATGAATTATTAATTCACTCATCAAATTAACTTTTGATTAAATTTACCTGACTTTAATGAAGTACAGGACGCATTAATCAACTGGTCGAGTATTTTATCCAGATGAAGAAAGTCACAGTTAAACAGCGTCGAGTTAGAGGATGCCATCTTTAATATCGTATGGTTAAATGTCATTCTTACAAGTGGTTTGCCAACTACAATTCCAATGATCAAAATGCTTTTATTCTTCATGGAACTGAAAATAATAACAATATACAGTAATAAGTTATTTCATGTCAATTACGCAGGGTATGGTCGCCTAATTCGCCTGATCATGAAGCACATGATATACATGCTGAGTGCTGACCATCTAAGGTCTTAGATCTGATTTTGCATTTAGTAAGGGTCTTGTGCGTTTTTATACGTGTGTATAGCTGGACTCATATTCACGTTCATGCGCGTTCATGCGTTCGCATGTCCGCCGCGGTTGGTTTAATTACACTGTTTTGGAATACCAGGTGAATTATGAGACTTTGACACTTATTTACTGTGACCTCGGAAAAGCAGCGTCTTTTGTGGCTCCTCAACTGCCACTGTTTCCCTCGGTCTCAGTAAATAAGTGATAATTATCCCCCCCCCCGTGCCGTCAAACTTCATGATCGATCAGTGACGTGCTTAACTCAGACGTACTGTAACGACAGCGCGTTAACTGCGTCTGTCACCCTTGCTCTCACCTCGTATGCTTGAGCGCGTTTTCAAGTTCACAACATCTTTTCTGTCCTTTGGGTTTGCCATCCGTGATTAGTAGGACGATGTCTGCAATGTTAGGTCTTGCATTGAGTGGGCTGTCGTAGGGAAACACCTAAGTAAAGGTAAATTTATTAAAGTTAGGTGTTAAATATCCACTTCTGTTGTTAATACGTGGATTGCAGCTCGAACATAACCGAGACAGATGTTTTCATGCACATGGGCGCCTCTGGCTGAACTATACATGACCTACACATGCCTTTGGCGAGAGAGTACACACCTACAGTAGCAACGCTTATAGGGTCAAACGATCAAGATCATTGGGTGAAAACAAGGCGCTATAAGCACAGCTATGTTTTACAGCGCCCTTGGTGAAATAAGGTAAAAAATCACAACGTCGCGTGGTACAAATGCTCGTTTTTGATTTGACACTGACTACATTCAGAAATGATTTTCAATCTGAGATTTAGGCCGCATTTACACTATCACGCTACGGTTAACACTCCGTTAAAAATTTACTACGTTTCTAGTTTTTGAGACTATATTGTGTTTACACTATAACGGAGTGGTTTGCTGTAGCGTACTAACTACGAACCACTACATTTGTCACTCTGAATACAAATCAATTTCGTTAAAAATTCACTACGTTTCTTGGGATTGTGTTTACACTATAACCGAGTGGTTTGCCGTAGCGTATTAACTACAGACCACTACGTGTCTACGTTTGGCACTCCGGATGCAAATCACTACGGCTACGGTAAATTTGCCGTAGCGTCATAGTGTAAACGCGGCCTTATATAGGCCTACCTGTGTGTCAGCAATTTTCGCGCCTGTGCCAGTCATAGTCAAGCCTCCAGAGACCTTACTCCACACTAAATCTTTATTGATATAATTCACATAGTCTTGAGTCGTCTTTTTTCCACCAAACCCGAATCTCATCTTAGTATTTTTTTCGTCACTGAATGTAAGCAATGCTAGGTGAGTTCCATTTGGGCCAATATTAAGTTTCTTACTTGTGATCAGTCGGATTAAAAATGGTTTTATTTCGTCAGTTAAATGATTCAGGCCGACAGAGTTAGATGTGTCCAAGAGTATCAAAACGTCTTTTTTACAAACGTCTGTTTTGAAAAGAAATAAAAATATATCAATTCATAGAATATCACGCTACCTCTAGTGGTTCCAGATCAGAGCAGGCTTAAACATAGTGCGCAACGTTTGGTTTAATTGCCATTGAGGCAATGCCAACGTCAAGTCGATTCCAGTAGGTGATAAGCTCAGCCAAAAATTTGGCATTATTCGCCGTTTTCCCAATTACATTTAGCTAGCAATTTCGCAATTTAAATAGATCTGCCGATAACAACGTACGTAACATCTAAGACTTGTAGAGTGGACTGTAATTCAATCTGAATGTGCCTGACCAGATTCATGTTAAAGCTTTTATTTTTTTGCATGTACTTTAACTTAATAGATTAAAAGGCGCTGTGAGAGAATGCTACTTAATTAAGAGAAGTGACATTAACCCCCCTGTTAAGAAATGTCTCGATCCCTCTCTCCTTTGCAGAGGCCTACATGAAATTTCTACTGAGCGAAAAGTGAGCGCGCAAGGAGTGATGGGAAGGGCGGAATAAAGGAAGCCTCTGCTAGTTAATGCAATCAATATGGCGTCGTATATAATCGTTTGGAGTTCGGTTCGATATCAACCTTCGAGAGGTGTTAAAACAGTCATGTTTTCCACTTTGCTTTTCAGGCGTACTTGAGCCCCCTGGAATGACCAGGACCAAAAGATATTGAGAAATTGCAAATGAATATAAATGGATATGAGCTATCTAATTATAAATATCCTCCAACTTTCAACATTTCTTTATAAAAATGACTCTACTGAACTTCGATACTCAGATTATGAAGATTCTATTATTTCAATTTCTTTCACATTTCCGTCGATTTCAAGTTTAAAAAGGTCAAACAACTGGTTTGGTTAAAAAAACATACTTCGTTGCATCATGTGACAGAGCCTTCTCGGCTTCATTTCAATCTTCTCATTATTTGTAAATACTTAAGGAGGCTCTGCGGAGGAGAGAGTCTCGATCCTGAGTTTCCCAAAACAATTTCATTAATTAAATTGCCGAATTTTTTTCTTCTGCCATGGTTCGGGATGTTGAAAAATAATTCTTGTTTTGTGTTTTGGTTCATCTATATGCCAGTTAATTGTGGCTTATTTGTCAATTCCCATATTCAAACTTGATCCTGGGCCTACTTTTAAACATAGGTACGCTGTGGCGTACATGCATGTATGAATCAACGGTAGCACCAGGAAATATATTAAAAGGCATTGAGCAGATAAAAACATAGGTGTGCACTCTGACCTTTGGAATCGATTTCTGGCATTCCAGAGTCATAGCAGAAAACATCGCATTATAGATGTTTTAAAATTGTATTTCCGGTTGGGATTAACTCACAGTCGAGCCAGAAATGGAAATTATACCGTGATAAAAGTTACAAGCTCAATTAATTAATTAATTATTTTTTGCGTAATTAATTAATTAATTATTTATTGCGTAATTAATTAATTGACAATATACGATCTCGCTTAACTTTCAAAGGCTATAAATCGCTACAATGTTGACGATGACTAAAACTACTGTGAAGAATTAGTTGATATTATTTCACTGAATCGAATGGTGGTATTATTGTTTTCACAGTATGCACTGAACTAACCTAGCACTGAACCGAAGATATGAACATACAAAGTCGTTGAGTAAGACGTATACAACCTGGCTTGACTTTCAAAGGCCATAAATCGCTACAATGTTGATAATGACTAAATCTATTGTGCACTGAACCGAAGATATGAACAGACAAAGTCGTCATCCTCTCGCGCAGTTATACGGCATTCTTGTTATTGTACTCGTGCTTTAGACAAATTAAACCATTTTATTGACATATTGTACTCGTGTTATTGACAAAACCATTTAAATTATTGGATGAAATTGGACAACAGCTGAACAGCGGAACTAACCGTACATAATCGACTTTCGCTCAACTTACATAGTTTCTTAGTTAAGGCTAGTTTCCACTCAGGAAAATTATCCGTGGATTGGAACGAACAAAAAATTTTTCTTTGTGTTAAAGTCATTAGTTCCAACCCAGAGCTCACAAGAAAAAGAAAAATTTCCTTGTCCATTCCAATCCACGGATAATTTTCCTGAGTGGAAACTAGCCTTTAAATGGCTCAGCCGCCCCAAGTCAACATGAAATTTAAAAACAAGGGGCTCAGCCCCCCTGAGCTCTCCCACCCCACTACACCACTGCCTTTAATTGATAGCATTCATGCACTTCCAGACAATGAACTCTCGCACATTTTAACCTAACTTAAAAAAATACAATCTTTTATTCAAAACTTTACAGATTCTAATAATAGTTTTGTTTGTGGAAACACCACGTAAATTTATTACTGCAAAGCTAAGCTTTCGATACGTAAGCCCCCGATCTTCATCAGTGCTAATAATATGTATATGTATAATATGTTTTTACAGATTCTATTTCGTATCTATTCCATCCTCCGCCTCCACAACGCCACTGAATGGAAAGAACATCCAAATTTTCGTGACGCTTTTGACAGCCGCTTTTTATCGAGCATCAGTTTTGTTTCCGGCCTTTAATCGACTGCACTAATTAATCTTTACTGTCGATGCAATGGAAGTGTTGATAAAATATTGCATGAATTCATTTCCTCAAGTTGATCAATTCATACGAATTCAAATTTCTTTTTACTTCCTGTGCGTTTCCTATTGGTCAATCGGTTGTGAAACGAAATCTAATTGGCTAATCTAAAAGTAACAGGAAGTTGATCAATTTTCTATCAAATGAATTGATCAACTTGAGGAAAGGAATTGGTGCAATATTTTATCAACACTTCCATTGCATCGACAGTAATCGACTGCAATTTGTTATGTAGTTCGCCATGATACTATTACACACTAAGTCGAGAATATATCTGCTGAATAACTAGGCAAATACAATGTGTTTGGACGTTTTCCTTTTAAAATATTTGATCCTGTATGAATGAATCTTTTCATATATATGAAAGTGTGTGGTGTCAACGCGTGACACGTGATTGTGGGATTATTTAACAATTATTGAATTCGGTTGTCGCATGATGTGAAGAAGAAAAAATGATTTTATTAATATAAATATTAATATTAATATTATTAATATTAGCTATAATATTAATAATATTATTAATATTATTTTATTTATTTATGTTCAAAATTATTTTCGCCAGTCCGCCGGTCCTCCAGTCCGCGTCTGCCAGTCCGCACCCGCCTTTTATCTACATCCTCATCATTGCGCCTTTTCCCGACATACACGAACCTTAGGTCCTGACAATGCTTCGGCTGATTAAAAATCAGTATAGATGCAAAAATCCTAACTGCCTAACTATAACTCTAAATAATCCTAATCATATAACTTTAATATTGACCTTAATCTTAGCACTAGTGCAAGGCGCCACTAACCTGAGTATCAGGCTCTATTTTACAAATACTAGCCTGACACAAACATTAATGCGATAGCTTTCCACCCACAGCAATCTAATTATAGTTGTGATCACTATAAATATATCATCAACAATAGTATAATCTAATTAGTACCAACCAATCAAACGACAGATTAAAATATCCTCTGTCTCATAGACCATAGGCCTGATCGCAGGCTATAGGCCTGATCGCAGGTTGAGGCACCACTAAACCGGCTGACAACTAATTACGCCACTAATATTTTTAGTTGTTCATTTTAAGTGTTTTTTGCTTCATAGAATGCATCATTATAACACCTCATTAAATTGTGATCATTTTTTGGCTGATTACTAACGATCTCGTGATATTGAATAAAGATTATCATTTTACTCAAGGTTGAGTAATACGAGCAACAAAATTGCTGCAACTTGCAACAAAATCTGATTTCTACGCATGTTAATTGAAAATGTTTGCACATATTTAAATTACAAATCACGAGTCAACATGACTGTGCCGTCGACATTTCTGCTTAACATGCGTTGAAATCAGATATTGTTGCAAGTTGCAGCAATTTTGTTGCTCGTATTACTCCAGCTTCAGCGTGCAACTGTGCATGAATTTTTGTACTATACGATTTGTTCCATTGCACGGTAAGATTTAATTAATTCAATTCAATAATTCAAAATCCTATTATATTTGTATCGTAATTGTTAGCTCATTTAACTTTAATTTTCTTGCTGAGATCGATAGAATCATATTCAATGCAAATACATAACTCGTGCGGAGAATGGCGGGTGTAAAAATATAATTAAATTTTTTATGATAATTTTGAGTTAAATGACCGCCATTATCATCTTGAATGTTGAATTTTCACTAAACATTTTTTGATCCAGCCGTTTTGTATAATTTTTACTATTTTTGAACAATGCACATGTGGCTGAGGTATGTGTTTTGTATAAAAATTCACTACTTAAAAATTCGGTAAGAGTTCTCTATTTTCAGTATTTTGTGTCATATATAAACCAATAACAAATGTTTTCATTCGTGCAATAGTTAAAATATTACATTTACAATACACTCATAAATATGTTTAACATTGCACTCATAAATATTCATTATTTGTATACTCACAAAAGAGATGTATAGAAAGTAATGCACGGATTATTTATATATAGTGTTTCTCTCTTTGTCCAGGTAAAATAACTGACTAAAATCCCTATATATACCTGACGAATCCACGAAAGCGAGCCAAGCATAGAAGGTAACTAAACAAACTGTAGCAAACATCTTGCCGATATTCCTGACCTCGTCTAAAACAAGATATATATTGCACCTCAAATAATTAGAAATTGCTACTATATACTATAAGAATATTGAGGCTCAAATCTACACTATAAGAATATTGAGGCCCAGTCTTTGAGTCCT